TGTAGTCTGAGATACTTTGGTTCAGATTTTGTTTAACCACATCAGGTCAGAATTCAGGGTTTGAGCATTTTGGACCTGGGGGTAAGGCATACACAACTTGATATCCATAATGTCAGGGACCTGTTCCAGCCTTCTCAGGTAGGATACAGAGGTTCTCAGCTCTACTGCTGACAGGTACAGACGTCTTTAAGGAGGGGTGCGGTTGGGTCTGTGCAGCATAACCAACTCAGCATCAGCACTGTGTGGTTGGGACATCCAATGTGCGGGAATGAGCGGTGCTCGCAGCTGCTGGTGGCTCATCAGTCCTTCCAGGCAGCTTCCACAAGATGGCAATATTTGAAACAGAAAGCTCAACAGAAACGGCTGAGTTTGTAGTAATGGGTACTGGGGAAGCAATCTTTGGTTTGATCAGTGAACCAGGCAGGCTGCTCATGCAGGGTGACTGTGAGAAGCAGTTGTAGTTCTAATGTTACTTATTTTCTTTAGCAGTTTATGAGACCGAGATACAGCTTGAACGCTGAAATTTTCCTGTTACTTTTATGTACTCATTTCCCTCCAACTGTGAGCTTGCACAACTTTTTAGTGAACAGCCACCTCCTGCTTCGCTTTTAGTTTCAATATCTGAGTCCAACAGGATACATATGCTGCTTCATCTTAAAAATACATAGAAGTTTTCTGTGTTGGCCTTTCTCCTGACTTCTGATGTGCCTGGTTCTGCTGGTGCTTGCGCTGGATGTATGTGATTTAAAGGAGCAGAAGCAAAGAGCCACTTTTGGGGAAAGACATTTCTCCTGAGTGTGGACTAGCATACAGTTCTATTTTGGGTGTTGCAGCTGGTTGTAATAGGACCCTGTGGCCTTTCTTTGGAGTCAAAGTGAAGCCAAAATTTATAGAATCATAGAATCACAGAATAGTTAGGGTTGGAAAGGACCTCAAGATCATCTAGTTCCAACCCCCCTGCCATGAGCAGGGACACCACACACTAAACTGTGTCGCCTAAGGCTCTGTCCAACCTGGCCTTGAACACCTCCAGGGTTGGAGCATTCACAACTTCCTTGGGCAACCTATTCCAGTGCCTCACCACCCTCACTGTGAAGAACTTCTTCCTTATATCTAATCTAAACTTCCCCTGTTTAAGTTTAAAGCCATTACCCCTTGTCCTGCCACTAGAGTCCCTAACGAAGAGTCCCTGCCCAGCATCCTTATATTCTATATTCCTTGACAATCAGACCACTGTCAGTGTCAAGTTAAAACTGTGTCTGATATTACCAGTAGTCTTGACCTCCTTTCCATCACTGGGCCTACAGTTGTTGAGGGAGCAGGAGCAGTATTTATATGTACAAATGACCTCTAATTACCTGTGTGACCCATTAAGAGTCTGATGGCTTCAGTAGAACTGTGGGTAATACCTGGGAGGCCTTTGCAAAAATCTGTGTCTATTCATTGGTTTTAATCAAATGAGAAAATCACTTGGTAGACATGAAAATGAGACATTACATTTGTCTTTTGTTTCCATTGCTGTCCATCCCTGGTGTCTGAGGTATTTTACCATTTTGAGTTTTAATTTTTGGATTTTCTTTCTCATTATAGAGAACCTTCCCAGTTATGAAAGTCTGACCTAAGGATTTTTTTGCAGGTTTAAGACTTCTTTGGTACAGGGCTGGTGGAAGGACTCTGTTCTTGCCAGTTCCGTTTATTAGTAGTATAAATTGCAATGGCTTTTACCTATTCTGAAGTTGTTGCATTTTATTTTTACTGTACTAAAAAGAAAAAGAACTACCCCAGAGCATGCAAAAGATACATCAAGTACAACTTACAGATAATTTGTTTTAATATTCCAGTAAAACTTATTTTTATATCATAAATAGTAAGCAGTAGTGCAATCTATCAGGGAATTTCTAGTTTAACTGCTGTTTTACTCTGAAGTCCTGTTAGCCCAGTGTGACAGTCAGCAGTGGTGCTAGCAAGTGTGTAAGCAGCAGGAGTTGGTGGGTGAGGGTCCCTGTATCACCTGACAGTGTGAGGGGTGTCGGGGGGCTTTCTGCTCTTTTGCACTTGTACAAAACCACTGAAGCAGAGTGGTGAGTAATTTCATCCGCCTGTGGTAGAGAGGGAGAGCACATGAGGAGGATGCTCAGACCCCATCTTCCCCGGTACAGACCACCTATGCTTCCTTAGCATGTCAATTAGTTAGCACCATCTCCAAGTAAGCTTTTATATGCCCCAGTGGTTTTCTCTTGCTGCAGAGGTTCAGCATTTACTGTCCAAGCCAGCACTGCACAGCCTGCAGTAGGCATTGGTGCCTGTTCCCTTTGGGAGATGCATTTTATTGCTTCAGTGTCTAATCCAGAGGCCGGGGGTAGTCTTTTTTTGACAACCTTTAGGCTGCTCCACACTGCAGCTTTTTCAGTGTCCTTTGTGAGACCTCTTTGTCCAGCTTTTCCCTCATGTTCACCAGAGCTGGGGCTTTGGTGTGTGCAGAGGTTTTTCTTTTTGCTTTCAGCTGAGCTGGAGTCTCCTCCCTGCTCATGGTTCTCCATTCATGTGTGGGAGCATCACTGCTGATGTGTGCCTTTCCCAGAGGGGATACCAATTTGTCTGTATGTCTGTCTTGTCTGTCTGTTATTCTATTCTGCTTAGCTTTCTCTTTGCTTATGTAGTCCTTTAATTCCCACCAGAAAGGGATGGAAGAATACAGGTAAGCAAGAGCTGCAATGGATAGACACAGTGACGACAGCCCCAGCATCTTTCTTCCTAATGGTTAAAACCTGTCTTGGGGCTTTTCTAGGCTCATAATGTAGAACGTTTTTCTGGTGTTCTTACATATCTGTGATACTCTTCAGATTCATCCTCAAACTCCATATAAGGTGGAAATAGTGGCCAGCTGTGCTTCAGTACTGATTGTACCACATATTTGTATAGTCTGTACACCAGGAGACATAGACACTTAAGCACCTGCTTAAGTTTATTCACTTAGTTTTACAAAGCACGTAGTGTGACTGTGAGGGGTAGGAATTGAGTTTTCCTCAGGGGTTGTGAATACTTGATCATTTCTAGGGCCCTCAGTTTACCTCCAGCAGCAGCAGGGGTGGCTTATTGTTTTGGGGGAACCTCTTGTGCTTTTTTACTTTAGAGCTGTGCCCCACACTTGCTTATTTCTTGGTCACTTCTGGCACATAGAGCCATCACTGTAGGCAGTACATGGGTTTTCTGAACCTGTGTCTGAAGAGCATTCAGAGGTAGTATCAGGTTTTTTCAGCTTTCAGATAACAAACTTACTTCATAGTTATTAATACTTTTTCACGGAAAAACTGGTCAGGGAGGTCACAAGAAATCAATGGGAAAGGGACCATACAATCTTAGGAGCTCATGGAGCAATTCCAGCAGTCAATTTATTAGTATGGAGCAGAGAAGCACTTTCTTGAATTAAAAAAATGTCACCAAAAAAAAAAAAAAATCACAACTGCCTCTCAGCCTGGAAATGGGTTTTCCCAGCTACTTGATCACCTGAGTTAGCTCTGATCTCATCTGATTTGATCCACTGTATCCAGGTGGTTTGCACAATATTGATTTTGAATTTCTAATTATTCGATTTCCCTTTCAGGACTGATGATAGACATGCAGGAATGACTTCCAGAAATCCTGTGACAGTTTCAGGCTCCACAGTAAATGCTTTGAATGCAGATTCCGCTGCAATTAGCTCATCCAACTGACATTTAGTTTTCTCTGTATAGGAATATGTATGGTACCAGAGCATTGTTTCGTAGGGCAGTGATCCTGCACCAGGCAGTGCAGCTGATTATGAAGGAGTTACTATTGGGTTGGTTGGCCTAGAGTGGGTTACACTCCTCAAGAAAAGGGACAGTTTGTTTTAATACAATGATGGGCACAGCTCCAGAGGCCCAAGATAGATGGTTCAGAGGAGCTTTGAGAATGGGAATTGGACAGGGATGAACTCATCACCCTGCACTTCTCCAAACTCTTTGACCCTTGTTAGGCTGAAGGTGCCACAAGCCTCGATCCTCTGCTTCTGCTCTGTCTCAGGATGCTGTCAGAAAGCAAACCTTTTACTGAAGGACATTGTTGAAGTGAATAAAGAGGAGGAGGGAAAGTGTAAAAATCAAGGCCTTTAGAATTTGGGTTGAAAATTGTGTTGAAAGAACACAGAGGATGGCAGTGCTCTGTCTCTTATTCAGTCTACTTTGCCAAGCAGTCCTGCAGGTGGTACAAGTAACCCTGCAGTAGTTCAGACATCCCATTTACTCACAGCATGCCCCTTGCTTTCAATAGGTGTTTGAATATGCAAAAAGCATGCAAAACCAGGCTCTGGATACCTGTGCAACTTTCTCAGTGGCCTTTCCCTTCCCCATAAAACCTCCAACCCCAAACACCTTGATTTTCCTTGCAGTGCCCTTGGACATGTGAGTCCTTGTGAAAAGTTGTGACTGGGGAGAGAGGTTGGGCAGAGTCCAGAAGCCTCCCAGGGGGTGGTGTCTGGAGCTGGGGTTTCCACTCAGGGCCTCCTCTGACCTGAAGCTCTGCCTCACCATGTGAATTAACAGAGCAGCTCGGATCCTTGCTTGGTACAAACTAGAGTAATTTTTGATGGGGCTGCATGGCACTGTGCCTTCTGAGGACCTGAGCTTGTCTTTTTTAAGAAGCAAGTGAGTTACTCTCCTGTGTAAAATCATTGAGGACTTTTCTAAAAGGAGCAGCAGATTCCTTCCAGCATGCTTTCGGCTTTTCAAGTTTGGTGCTCTCAAGTATGTGCTTCTGTCCTTGTGGGTTCTTCACCCTCCATAGGAAGGCAGTATGACACTATGTACCATTTCTGGTTGTAGCGGTGTCCATAACCTTCCACTCCAATTCCCTGCTCTGAGCTTCTGTTTCGCTGTCACCTTTCTCTTTGTAGCATTCTGTGTGCTGCTGTGCCAGTTGCATTACTGTAGCCTCAATGTCTCTTGTGTAAATAAAAGACGTTGTTGTCCAAGAAGTGTGGTGTTGGGTTGGGGAGGGGAAGAGTTGTTTGTTTTCTTTTGTCTGCTCTCCATTTACATTTTTTTAATTCTGACCAATATAACATCTGCTAAAATGTCTTCCTTATCATTTGCTTGGTGATCACACAGCCTTCCCACCATTCATTGAGAGCTGGACCAGATCTCACAGAGTCTGAAAAGAGCTATGTGGTAAGGTCACTGTTTAAATCAGATGTGTAGTCCTAGAGTCTCCTCACCCAGACAGTAACACCTCAGTAGAGATAAAATGCCAGCACGGTTTTTAGCTGCAAAGTAGGTACATATTTATCTATTTGCAAATATTGTTTTCTTTGCAACAGAAAAAGGGAACTTATGAATTAGAAAAACTGTCAATGAGAAGTTGGGCTAATTGTGCTGCCAGTCCCTGGCTATAAGTTAAATGAAGCAAAATGCATGAATGGAGCAGCCCGCCTTGCATTCTTGAACTGACTTCATAGCATTTATATTGATGCCACTGCATAACTAATTGCAACCTCATATGCTGCTTTTAAAAATATATGTATATGTATTTGCTACAAATCTTCAAACTAAATACCAAATTCTTCTGTATCTTGCCTGTTTTTCCATGCTTACACCTGGATCCCTTCTGCACTCCACTACCTGGATAATTACCTGGATCTACAACTCTTTTTTTGTTTGGTTTTTTTTTTTCCTTTTACTGGACTTATGTACCACATCTGGAATGTCCCATCTCTTCTTGTCTATATTTTCCCCTCCCTCCCCTCTGTTGACTGTCCTTTGGGTGTTCTTGGATGTCAATGCTGCCTACCACACAGGAAGCTGTTTGCAATGAGATCATAAACATTGCAGAAAAGTCTGTTCATTACTGCAGTACTATTGCTGAGCCTCTTGACTCTCGCCACAAGGTGACCTCTAATGACCATAAACCATCTCTCATCATTTCTCAGCAACCTCAAGCACAGCAGCAAGGAACCAGCCCTGACAGAAGTCAAACACCACGAGACATGTAAGTCCTTTTGGCTCCTATCTCTTCCAAGGGCCTTATCTCTGACTTGTGGTGAAGATGGGGAGGTGTGAAAGCTTCAGCATTTCAGGAGTTATACTGGAATTCTGGGAAAGTGTCAGCTTTTCTTTATAGACAAAAATACCCATGTATCATCATAATGAGTAGTTTGAATGTGGGACCTTGTGTCTGTATAGCACCTGAAATGGTGACCTCATGATCCAGGAGCGGGTCTCCTTTTGGGCACCTGACTCATGCTGGTCATGGAGACTATCGCAATGTCTTTTGTATTGTGAAGCTGGAGACAAATTAATATCCACTGGCGACATCATGCTTGTATAGTGTGGGTCAGTGTGTTCACCTCTGTCCTTAGCTTTTCCCAGTACAGTGAGCAGTCCCAACACTGATGCCACTTAGTGTTTTGCTGGCCAGTTCTACAAATAAATTGGTGATAGATGATTTGAAAGACCAAGCCTTGAGATTTTCAAAGCTGTCTGGTGGGTTTAAACCTGGAGCTGCCATTAAGCTAATGCAGATATTTGCTGATGGTTTTGAGAATAGTAGCCTGCATTGTGTGCTGGGGACTGAAGTTCCTGTGCCCTATGCTTTGCTTTCCCCTGCTCCTTTATGCAGACTGGAAAGTCTCACATCAGCTATTTTCACTCCTCACAGACAGGGAATCCAAGCCTCCCCAGATTTGCACAAAGATTGTTTCCACTCCGTAAAGTTCTTTTCTAATAAATAAAGAGTGCCTCTGGTGCAAGTGGCATCTCAGGGCAGGATTCAACCTTGGATTTTGTATGCACTGTACCTCCTCGGCCATGATTTATCTAGCAACTTTAGCACAGTAGAGTAAGCAGTATCCTTTTCTGAAGTCAGTCACTCTGCTATTTGGTCATTCATGGCCCTACCTATGTGCCTGGGCAAGGGAACAGATGTCTCCTTTAGCCCAGAAATGAGTGTATCCAGGTTTTGGCTTGTATTCAGTAGGGTATCTGCACTCATACACTCTCTAGGTGCTGCATGTTAGGAAAACTCCAGTTATTACAGTCTATGGAGACAACTACGTGGCAAAAAGGAAACAGAAGCTCGCTGCATATCCCACACAATGGAGGCCTGACACTTTTTTCTGCCATGGCTTTGTGACAAAAGCCAATTTAATGCAGTTGGCTTCCTGTGCTTTCCCTTTTTCTCAAATGGAAAAAACAGGTCTAGACTGCATTGGACAAAACATAATAGGAATTAGAAAGGGGAAAGAAGATGTCTCCTTCTGAAGGGATGTGAGGGAAATCCAATGGCTAACATGCAGTATCTTTCTGGATTTAGAGTTAGCTACCAAGCCCTCTACAGCTACACTCCTCAGAACGATGATGAGCTGGAACTGAGGGATGGTGACATTGTTGATGTCATGGAGAAATGTGATGACGGCTGGTTTGTGGGTGAGTGTGACACCTGCTGTCAGCAGAGCTTTTTGAGATGCAAATGGCCAGTTTTGCAGAGCGTCTGGAAGTTGCTTTCATTTGTGAGGTCAAAACAGTGAAAAAAGTCAACTTCACTTTTTTCACAATTTCTCATATTTTCCCACCAAAACCGTTAAAATTAGGCTGCAGGGAGATGGAGGTTTGTTTTTCTTGCTAGGTCTCCAGTTTTGTCTTTTACCTCTTCTTAATTTCCCCATTCCACATTTCCTCCTGATCCTTCTTGATCAGACAGATGGCAGAGCAACAGAGGGAACCAAGGAAAACTGGATTTCTGTACCTTTTCTGAGGTAGCTGTGGCAAGTTACAAAAAGTGGCAAGTAGGGGACAAAGGAAATACATGGATGGGAGGAGTTGTTCCTGAAAATCCAGCCTCAACTGTAGCTGTATGTTTAGCAAAATCTAGCCCTTTACCTGCAAAGAATACAAGTCTGGACAATGTTCTTCATCTCAACACTGCAAATCCAGGCTTGTTATCTCTTCTTAAGGGAGATCAGCTCGTTTACACTTGTAGGAGTTTGGCTCCTGTCCTATGGGCCCAGGAGCTTTCACCAGCACCTTACTAAGTGTTACAAGGGAAGACAAAGATGATTAGTAGCAGAACTAGTTGTGAGCTTGTCTTTACTGAAAGGCTCTTTGACCAGGATTGCTATTTAATTTTAGAAATTGCCTGCAGGCAGGAGAGGCTGCCACCTCTACCTTACCTCTAAGCCTCCCTTGCATGGCTCCATCTTACTCTGGCTTCCTTGTGTTTTATTTTGTGACAGGTACATCCAGAAGAACAAGGCAATTTGGCACCTTCCCAGGCAACTATGTGAAGCTTCTGTACCTGTAAAATAACAGTGATCCCACCATGACAATGATGGGGTTGTTTTCCAGATGGCATTTTTAAACAGTGAAGAAACAGACAATTTATGAATGTAATAGAGAAGAGACAAGATGTGTTAGGAGGATGTGGTTATGTGGTACAGTAATGAGTTGAATGTGTAACCCTGCTTCAGTGGATTCAGGGTGTGATTTGTTTGCTGAAGAAGAGACAGTTTCTAGTTTACAGTGCTGCCTTTGTGTATTCCTCTTCCCTCCCCAACAAGAGTTCTGATTATAATCTTAATTTGTATGGAGTAATTACCTCTGAGAAGGCTTCAGGGAAGCACATGGTATAGGTTTTGTTTCTGTGTTGAGATAAGGATAATGCTTTGGGGCAGTACGCACCCTTGCAGCTGCTCCCTTTCACTGGCAAGGTTCAGGGAGGCCAGGCTTTCTGCCCAGTTTCTGCCTCACTGAAGACTCACTTTGCTCTGCCTTCCACTTCCATAGAAAACCCTTCCTTCATGACATGCATCTTAAGACCCAGCAGAGGCAGAGGACAACTGATATGGTTAAACTGCAGAGCTCTGTGTGGAAAAGGAGTTTGGGACTTGTGGTTTAATCTGTGCAGCCAAACCATAATGCAAATGTGAAAATCCCGAACTCTTTGGTAATGTACGACCTTATCTCTGCAGGGTTTTTTTCTTTTGTGCAGGATGTGTGTGTGTGAGTGTATTGTGTGCATCAAATCGAACTGAGTCCTGGTTTTTAAAGAGAAATCGGCCTGGCTTTGACGTCTATCTGCACAAAGAATAGAACCAATAAACAGAACATCCATGGGAGCAAATCCTGTTTGAGTTCTACGGCCATTCACTTGCTCTGTTCTTCCTGCCCTGTTGTTGGTCCTAAAGGATCACACACTTGTTGAAGCATGTTCTTCAGGACGAAGACTTTGCTTCTTTCCCAGCATTGAATCTTAGAGGCTCTAATATAACTGAGCAACATATTACCCGAGGGTGCCTTTTTTTTTTTTCTTTTTTGGTTACAGTGTCAATGATAGGTTTCAAACAAATGCATGCATTTTGGCTGCATTTTGTCATACAAAATTCTAATCGATTTGGAAAGCTGTTCCCAGCAGTTATTACCAGTTACATAGATGCATATTTCCTTGAGGGGGAAAAAACCCCCATGGCTTGGCTGTATGCTTGCCTGTAAATCCACTCTTTTGATAGACATTTTATTATTAAGAAGCAGCATAAACAAAGCCGGTTCTATCAGACGCTGCTTCCTACAGTTACCATACAAATAGCAAAGGGTTAAATTGCTATTTTGTCATAAGCCGTATTTAATAATATAAAATGCCTATTTTTATGCCGATGCTTTTATACAGATTTATTAAGAGTAACTACAACTAACTGTTAGCACGACTTGCAATGTTTTGATAAGCTAGCCATGCTCCTGGGTTTGAAATCAAGAAGGCTTGTCTTCCGCCTAGCTCAGCGGAAGAGAAGACTCATTGTCTCAGAAGTTTGACTGTAAATATGTATATTTAACTTTGTACAGACAATGTACTTACCTTGTATAGAAAAAATAATTTAAACACATTGAGAGAAGGGAGGGGGAAAAAAAGGCAGTTGTGAAAGGTTGGGATTTTTTTTCCACTTTTATTTAAATGATGGAATTCCATGTGTGTTCACATAGAGAGTTTTAGCACAAAATATCCATTATGAAAGGTTTTCAGATATGACACAAAGCACCACTGTTTCTTTTCTGCAGGAGATGTCTTTAATCCTGCATCTTATTTATGGGTTTGTTTTTCTGCTTTAGGTTTGCCCTCCAGTTATTTGCAGCAATATTTAAGTCTGTTGCTAAGATTGAATAACACCAAATTAATCTATCCAGCAAAGTAACATGATAATACTGACTGTATATAACATACTCATTTAAAGGTTTATTTTTTGTTCTTGCTCTTGCCATTTTAAGTTACACACACATACACACACAGGCGTACAAACTGCAACTTATTTTTGTGTTGATTTTTTGTTTCTTATTGCAGTGGATTACTATTTGACAATTAATAAATGGAATTATTGAATTACTATTGTGTTCCTTGTACAAATTATTAAATAAAAGTCTATTCCCACTGTTCCTATAGCAGTGCACTTTCTGTATGAGTGCCCTTCTGTGGCTATCTTTGTCTGTGTCCATATACACAGCAGGTGTCTGCTATGAGCTTCTTGCATGTCCTGCACCTGAGGATCCTGCTTGTGACTTGTGACCAGTTCTCCCTCCTGAGCTGTAGGCAGGCCATGACATTTTCCTCAAAGAAACTAAGGTGTAAAGGCAGAGAAAAAGCTGGTTTCCACCCAGGTCTCACTGTAATGTGGGGTCAGGGTGCAGCTGCTGTGGTATGCATGCAGACCTGGGAGCTCAGGAGCAAACCCAAGGTCACCAGTTTACAGAGGCTCTTTATGACTCTCTCTTAAGATGGGAAGACCACACAGGTTAAGTTGGGCAAGAAACCCCAAATGCTAACCTCTGTGGGAAGGGATGTTGGCTGGTGTTAGGTTTACATAAGCATTTCTAACCCAAACTCTGGTCGAAAGCCGTAAGACGCTGACTTCTGCAGTAGCTGCATTCTGACCAGGCAAGTAGGGCTGCAGCACTAATTCAAGGGGTTTGTGCAACGTTTGTGGTGAACACGTCTTCTAGCTGTGCAGCAGGAGAGCTAGCTGGGGCTTTTTTGGGTGTGCCTTGTAAAGGAACAGTCCCTGCAGGAGCAGAGCCATGGGAAGGCTGGAGCTGAGCTGTCTTGGGTGAGCTCAGTGGGGCTCAGTAACTCACAGGGACTGCCAAACTGCACCTTGCACCTCCACATACCTGGCTACTGCAAGCTGCCCTTGTGGGGTTATTCCCACCCCAAAGGCTGGTCTTCTTGAGACCTCCTCCTCAGCCTGAGCCAGAATTGGGCATCACATTCAAACTGGGGGGATGTGGTGGGATGACCAAGCAGACACATACAACACGTCATGGCTACAATCGCAGTGATTTTGGGAAACTGTAGACAAGCCAACCTTAAATCTGAACTAACAAAGCAGCAAAAGCCTCAAGTTATTTTCCACTTCCCCAGAAAGCACAGAGACACGAGCCCATTTTTCTGTTCGCAGATTACCTTATATGAAAGCAAAATGGCAGCCTGACCACTGCTTTGCTGCATTGTCTATCCTAATATACTTGGTAGGGAACAAGCTAGAGATACTTTTGTGACTGGAGAAGCTGGGTGTAGAGGGAGGAAGAGGACCCAGCAGTGTGTCACAGCCCTCTGGAAATCCCTCACACCTGGGGGTGAAGGAGCTCTTGGTGTAACTTACTTCACTGCCAGGAGATGTGTAACCATGTGGTAGAAGTTGCTGCTCTCTGATAGAGATGAGATTAACAGTCCAGATGCAGGTACCCTGGAAGGAAATAACCTGTGAAATGACAAGTGAATGCATGAAAAAGGAGGAAGCCAAGAAAGGGGATTGCAGAGGCAAGAGTGTGCCTTGTGATGGAGGTCATTTGTGGCCATGTCTCATAGGGCCAGCACTTAGTAACCCACTTCAGCCACACTTGCTAACTACTCCATGCTCCCCTGCTGTGCCTGAGTCCCAGCTTCAGCAGCCGCTTTGTTCCGTGGCTTGCTGCTCTTCTGCTCACTGATGAGCCGTGTTCATTTACCAAACCAGCAGCAATGCTTGCACTCAAGTTCTAAATGCCAGCACCACTGCAGTAATCAACCTCTCCCATCTGTCAGATTGGTGGAGGCTTAACGTGCAACTGGAACAATTATTCTTCCTGAATCACAGCTAAGGAGGTTGGCTCGAAAACCCATATAGAGGAATTCCTTTGTTGGTGGTACCACCCCAAAGGGGCTAGAGATAAGCAAAACTCTGCCTAAAGCAGTGGTGGACCTGAGTCCTTCCCAGCTCCGCCCGTACCCATCAGCTCCCAGTTGGGAAACTGCACAATGCCGCTTATTTCCATCGCCTCCATTAGGTTTCAGAGTTAACAATGCGCCAGGCTAGCGCAGGCTGGGCCGTGTTTGCACGGGAGACGCCGCACCGGGGCAGTCTTGCGTGCGGTTGCCCACCCTTGGCCTGCTCGGCTCTCAGCTGGATGGGGATGGGGTGGAATGGGACGAGACGAGGCGTGAGACGCTCCGCGTTCCCG